TAATAGTTGTTCACATTAATTTGTTATAACACATTCTAATCATTTTATATAATAAGATAAAAATATGTACGTATTAAAACCATGATTTCAATAGTCGTTGCCCGTAAGTTACAAATAAAAATAAAAATAAATTTATTTTTTGATTTATAGCAATTTTTAACTATCAATAATTAATCAATTAAGGTACATAAATTTTATAATTAGATCAATTAAATTTAATCTATTTGTAAGTTGTGTGTGAATTTTGATATTTGGATTTAGTTTGATATTTTACATTATATTTAAACTTTTATTATCTTTAAATATTCAATTATGAAAAAAAATATTATTATAAAAATAGTTTTTGATGAACTTTTTTTGTTAATTTGACATATAAAGTAAAATTCTATATTTAAAGATTAACCAATATAATCATTATAAGTAACATAAAATTTCGATGAATCAACTAATTATCAAAAGTCATTTTAATTGAGTAGTGAGGTGAAAAGTCATATAAATTTGAAATACAAATAAGGTTCAAGAAAAAAATGTCATTTTTAATAGTAGATATAATTTTGATTTAAATTTTATATTTAAACTTTTATTATTTTAATTAGTTAAAAAACCGCCTCTTTCGAAAAATTTCATTAGTATATATAATAGTTTTTTTTGTTAATTTAGCTTTTCCATTTAAGTTTTATATTTTAAGATAAACACATGTAATCCTTATAATTATCGTATTTCAATTAATCAATTAATCATCATTAGTAAAAAAAATTCTCTTTTATAATCAGATAGATATTTTGATTAAGGTGTATAGAAATTTTATAACTAGTAAAAAAATTATCTTTTTTTATATTTAGATATATAAAATTTTTACCATTCGCAAAACACTTTCCATATTATTTTTAATTTTGTTTTCATATGAAACATAAAATACTATCGAAAAAATAATAAATTAATATATAAAATTTACAATATAATTGGTTGGAAATTGAAATCCACTATCAATTTCAGTAAATACAATCAAATATTTTGATACATAAAAATTTCATCTGTACAACAAAGTTTAATTATTGATAATATCAAAAGATTACACACACATACACATATATACATATATAATAATATCAAATTATTATACAAATTAGTATACTTCTAACAATATAAAGATGATCACTTTAAAATTTACTAACAAATGAGTTTGTTAGTATGGCTTTATATGTTCCAAAATAACATCTTTCATCTTCATCATTCAATATGAATACATGCACCAAAAATTAGAGTTTGATGCATTTGTATATCCTTTTTTTTCTCTATCTTATTCAAGTCGTCTTTTTTCTTCATTTTATTCTCTAAACCATAACAACCTCAATTGTGCTTGTGAAGTATATACATACATGATATCATACATGATATCATAAGTATCAACAAATAACCATAAGTTAAAAAAAACTTTTAAGTTGTAGTGTTTAGTTAGTTTAATGTTGAAATCATAAATACATATAAATTAGAAAACTATTGAATTGTAGTGATTAATTAATTTTTAGTTAGAAAGAGCTTTGAGTTGTAATGCAAGTTTTAAATGAATATGGTGCAAAGAAAATGACCTCTATTATAGTATAACTAGGCGAATCCCGGCGCGTTGCGCGGGAATATAATTATATAGTTAAAATAATAACTTTTACCAATTTATTATTTAATACTTCTACTTTGAAACAAATGTTGTAGTAAAGCAACATATAGTTAACATATTAGTTTTATTAAACATTATAGTTTAATTTTTAAGTCATTGTGATATATACAATTATTTGTAATTTTATAAACCCGTTTAAAATCGTGTAGATTATATATCAAATGAATACAATATACGGTAACAAAACGTATGAACAAAAATATGAACTGCAACTTTTAGTAACATAAAAAGAGAAAAACATAGTTATAACATTTGTATTAAAAAAGATATAGATACAACGATAATAAAAAATATGAAAAATAAACATTATAAATTTAAATCACATAAAAACACGAAAACATCTAGTATATAACAGTTCCTATTAACTCTTCATATTTAAATCACAAATCTCTTCAAACATTAATGTGTTTTATGAGCAAAACTTTACACCCTTATAAAAGAAAGGAAAATAAAAAGTTATAGTGATTACTAATTTTATAATCATAAGTTAAAAACTCTTGAGGTTGTAACTAATAAATATACATAAATTAGAAAACTCTTGAGTTGGTAGTGTGAGTTTCAAATGAATGTGGTACTTGGAAATGTATATTTATTATTATTATTATTATATTATTATATTATATATTCATCTAAATAATTGGTTTTGATGCATCATTTTTCCCTTCAATTATTAAACCAATATTTAATTATAAATTTATAACATACATAGGTGCATATACATGTTAAACAAATACATATAATATATTATATTTTCGTAAATGTCATATTAATTCTTGTCGTAGTAATATTGATAAATTCCTTTCATATGAAGAACATATCATGATAAGTCTATCATAATTACATATCAAATGTTCGAAATTATGTTATCTTTTAAATATTGTCTTTTAAATATGTTGTGTAGGATAACTCAACAAAAAAATAATAGAAAATAACCATAATCACAATAGAAAAACTACAATCAAATACTAAGAGCATTTGGTGGTTGAATATATAAATAAAGATGTTCCATAAACATACATTTAAATCAAAAGAAAAAACTAACATTCGTCAACTTTGCTCAAACAAAAAAACCTATATCCATTTTATGAATCTTCTTTCTTCATTTAACACCATTCAACCATAGAAACTTGATGACATTCTTCACTAACTTGCAATCAAATATTTTTCTTGAAAAAGAAGAATCAGTAGATATTCCAAGCAAAACATTGATGTTTGGAGAGTTACATTCAAGATTGAGTAATACACATAAATCACATAGAAAGATTAAATGAGAAACTCAATATAAAGAAATAATAGAAAAACTTCATTTGTTTTGGTTGAAAGAAAAAAATCATATTACAGTTACCATCGATGCGACATAACTCATTTCTTCAAATCATCATATTTGGATTGTGAATGCTTCAACTATATGAAAACTTTTGAATCACAATATCTTCAAATCCATCTTACAAGTAAGATTTTATAGAACACAAAAGACACAAAAGATTGGTCTTTTTATAGTAAACTTTTCACTAAATGCTAATTAAACATAATATAAGTTATAAAACTTTTGAGTGTTAAATCATAATTAAGAAAACTTTTGAGTTGCATTAGTTAAAAAAAAAAGGGTTTCAAATGAATGTGGTTTGAGGAAGTTAAAAAATGGGGTTTCAAATGCATGAGATTCAAGAAAAAATGCTAGCTTTATAAGTATTTAAGAAAACTTTTGAGTTGCATTAGTTAAAAAAAAGGGGGTTTCAAATGAATGTGGTTTGAGGAAGTTAAAAAAGGGGGTTTCAAATGCATGAGATTCAAGAAAAAATGTTAGCTTTATAAGTATGTATGATATGATATAGATATGGGAATGATGTCGTATGATGTATTTATATCCCTTTTTATATGTTTCTAACACGAGAAAATACAATACATTAACATTTTCAAATTAACTAATAATGTCGTATTTGACATCATTTGTAATAATATCCACCCAATTATGAAAGTGAGTTGTTATGTTTTTATAGGTAAAAGTGTTATCAAATTGTTAAAGTATTTGCTGACTAAAATCTTGACTTATATTTAAAATTGGTAATAGTGTTACATAGGAAAACTATATTACAAGTTATTGGCATTTTATTACATATTATGAAAGTATGTTGCTATAATTGTTATCCACTATTGAAAACTCGTGAGTGAGTTTGCATTGCTTGATATCAACTTACTAGTTGTGTGTTAACTATGAAAAATGGTAACCCATGCCCGGTAAATGACAAAATTTTGAAGCAATGTGATAAATACTAGGTGGCGCTTATGTGGACCGTGGTAAATTTGACATCACTCCCTCCAGCCTTAATATGAATATTTGATTTCTCCGGCCTTAATATGAATATTTGATTTCTCGTTAACTATATGTAGACACCAAGTCTATTAACATGGACTATTTATATTTTGTATATTTGATTTCTCGTTATAGACACCAAGTCTATTAATGTCGACTATTTATATTTTGTATATTTGATTTCTCGTTAACTATATATAGACACCAAGTCTATTAGTGTCGACTATTTATATTTTGTATATTTGATTTCTCGTTAACTATATGTAGACACCAAGTCTATTAGTGTGGACTATTTATATTTTGTATATTTGATTTCTTGTTAACTATATGTAGACACCAAGTCTATTAACGTGGACTATTTATATTTTGTATATTTGATTTCTCCTTATAGACACCAAGTCTATTAATATCTACTATTTATATTTTGTATGATGGTCCGTAGGATACGTTACCAAACCACTTTGTATGCATGAATAGTGACACCAGATCATTTAATTTCTTTTAATAATTCTAAACGTGTCATTATTGCTAAAATTGAACTTTAGTTTTCGACTTTTACAAAATACCAACTTTCACCCCTACAAAAAAGATTAAAAAAAACAACCTTGCTCCAAACTTAAACTCAGTTTATAATTTGGTACATAACTCCATTTCTCTTAACAAATTGCCCCCTCTTGTTTCCAATATTTCAAACAAGCCCAAACTACATTCACGACAACGGTTTTTTTGTTACTAGAAAAACCCCATGCATTCATTGATGAGTTGTAGCATAGAATACATGATACAACCCCTTAATACAATGCGAGAAATTCTGAAGCTCAAATAAAATAAACAAGAAATAACTAAAACATACATTGAACCTTTAAATATCTTGGAAATTACATAAACAACACAAATAGAAAAAACGACTTTAACCAACCGAAAGCCTTAAATGTTTTCCCTATGTTTCTATGACAATTGCAATAAACCAAAACCAATGACACCAAAACAAAAACCGAATCGGGTTATTGAACACATAAGCACTGTTAAATTTTCAAAGTTGGTCCTTCAAGATAATTTATGTGAATAAAGAGATGAAACTTGTAGTGAACACAGGAAACAACAACATTATGACAAATAGTCACTTCTTCAAAAGCTTGTGTGAGAAAATCCGCTTCGAATACGGGCTGTTTCTTGATATTGCTTTGTGTGATTCAATCGCTTTCACCAACAAATTATGAAGCGAGCCCTGTTACGAAAAAAAAATCATGTTATTTTCTAGAGTAAATTTCATTTTTGGCCCCTAGGTGTATACGATTTTTGCAGTTTTGATCCCAACAAGTTTCCTCTTGCAAATTTGGTTCTTCTTAAAGGTTTTTGTAACGTTTTTATATTTGGCACCAAAATTGCAAAAAACAACTACACTCATTGCCTAAATATAGTCGCTTTACTTGGACCATGGAGCAAAAGGTTAAAAAGAATCCCTAAAAAAATAACCTAAATTGCAAGAAAAAACTTATTGGGACCAAAATTGCTAAATACAACTATATTTAGGTGCAAAAATTGTAATTTCATCAGTTTTCTATAAACAAAAGATATACCATACCCCTGGCCCAAACCAACATAGGAAAATCCCTAGGCGTATCAGATTACAGTCAACCAACATGAGACAGGTAAATCACAGTATCACAGTAAAGGTCATGCAGTGACTGATTTCTTTATTTATAGCATCCTATTTTATTTTTCCTTATTATTTTTTGTGCTTCGACTAGAAAAAGAGAGTGGGGCCCACCTCAGCAACACGGAGAGCAGTTTGCACAACATAATTAGCGTGCGGGTCTTGCAGCAGTTGTTCAAAATGAGTAGCAGAAAGCAGTTCACGGATGATCGATGACCGGGCTCGGTCATCGAGCACCGATAAACATTTTTCAACAACATGGCTACTAAATTTTTGTGTCGCAAGATGGACGTAATTGCCCTCGAATTGACTAGTCAACATTGATACCGCGGATGGGATTTTTAACTCCAATATAGATTGTACAACATAGTTTCTGCAATTGAAAAATAGGAATTTAAAGATTATAGAGATTTGAAATGTTTTATGTAATTAAAAAAGTAAATCTTTTTTTTTTTTTTTTTGTAATGTAGCTTACCCGAATGCATCTTGAGCTAGAAGAAGCCCGTTTGAAGAAATTTCAAGAACTAAGATTTCTTGATGTTTTCCAATTGAGTGATTAATGCATCTTTGCAATACACAACACCCATGTTGATGTGTCGCAATGTCAACACAGAACTTTGCAGCAGCTTCAAAAATGAACTGTCACCCAACACGAATATAGGCCAATTTTAGTTGCAATTTCTAAACTTTAACCACAATTTCCCTTCTTTCTGTTTCATAAAGTACCATGATGCCACATTTGTATGCATAAACAAGATCTTACAAAGATCATGAACTCAATTAAAATACGCAAGATTTTGATTGTAAATGTTATCATATGCTAAAAAAGATTCAATATGAAGCACAAACCTTGTTATCTTCATTGCTGAGACACTGCAAACATCGCTGAATCACATGGTTTCCATTAAGATCCTTAATAAGTGCAAGAAACCCTGGTTCAAGTGCAGAAATAACCACCTTAATTTGTTTTCTTGTCTTTAGTGTCTCTATAAGCTTCTGCACCACTCTTGTCCTTTAACAAAAAACGATTTTTTTAACGTTACAGAAGTGTATGAATGAGGTTAAGAAAGTTAAATAGAGAAAAAGAAAGTTACCCATGAGTGTTCAAAGAGATTTGAACAAGTTCCCTTGGTTCACGAGTGACCTCCATTAAAATAAACATTCTTTGTTCTTCATTACAAACTTCAAGAAGCTTCTGCATAAGGTAATTCCCAAATGGATTCACCATAAGCTCAGCTACATGCCCAACAATTTCATCAAACACCATTTGTACATGTTCTTGATCTCCTTCATCAAAAACACTTTGAATATAACGACACCCATTTTGGTCTTTAGAAAACATATATATGTACCCTCGAGCATCTGCCAATGTTTTACATCTTAAAGGTGTGGTAAATGACCGATTTGCCATTGGAAATTGGGAGTGATTTGATTCCACATGTGACGACCTCTTTTCATGTAAAGAACACTTCTTGTGTTGTCCTCTAAAACCCCCAATTACTTTGTTGGAGTTTCTCACATGATTTACAGTTTCACCATGGATGATTAAACTGTCTTCGTTTTGTGATGCGGTGTATAAACCATTCGAAAGAGGTAAATCTAAAGACGGAATTGCCCTTTGGTAAGCTACAGGGTATCGAAGATTTAACACATTCCGATTGAAATGCGATTGAGCGAACAAATTCTCAGCTCGAGGAGGCGGAATTTGTTGATACCCGAAAAAAGGACTGAATTCAGTCGCGTACATGGGATTCCGGGAAGAATGAGATTGATTTACAGCATAATCGGAAAAGGGTTTGCTGAAATTGATTCGATTAGTTCCTACATTCGGATCACGAACTAAATCCTCTCCTTGATTACCTGATTCGCTAAACAAATTGTCATCAAATTTCTTCCCGAAATAGGGGAGTATCGAACTGTAAGTTCTAAACATCAGATGAGGTCTGGGGGTGGGATCATCTTTGGAGAAAAAACTCGAAAAGGAGCCATTAGATTGAAGAGAAGTGGCAGTAGCAGGGAAAATACATGGATTCTGCTTGTAACTACATGATGGGTCATCATCATACATACCATACATCATTCCGTTAATGGTCTGAGATAGAACAGGCTCATACCCATTATCATTGACATGTGATGGAAGATGATGCTGATGATGATGATGATGATGATGGGTAAGTGATGATGTTGCATGAGGGATCTCACCCAACAACAATTCAAGCTCGTCATCATCCTTGATATTCTCATTAGTGATCTCAATTCGCTCAACCATCTTCAATAAATAACACACAGAAACAGAATTGTACAACAACAAAAACAGAAACAGAGAACTGAAGGAATTTTGAACAATAAAACGACAAGACAAGCTCAAAATTCAAAACAATCCGATCAATGAACACTTGAATCGAAAACCCACATGAAATTACCGATTTTCTTCATCTGGGTCGGCCTTGAAACAATCAAAAATTCCGATTGAAGAGTTGGGTTTTAATTAGGCGGACAGAAAAAACAAATCCCATTTCATCATCATCATCACCATCGTCTCCTTTTCAATTTCTGGGGAATTTTTATGAGTTTGGTGAAGCATGCAAAGATGAAGAAATATTGTATACACTAATACACATAGAGTATGAATGTTTAGTGTACACACCGGCTTACTTGTATGGCCTCACGCCATAAAAGCTGGAGAGCGGAACAGACACACACACAAAGTGAAATTGTGTGAAAAATACAAAAGATTGAGCAGAAAAAACATTAAAAATAAAAAATTACCCTCAAGAGTTGATGCTTGAAGGGATCATAAATCATCAGAATTAAACCAAAAAAGTAGGGATTTTATATATGATTTCTATTTCTACACATGATTTTCTACAAAACTTTTGAAAATTTCATCCATGAGTTTGTTATACAGAAATTTTGTAGTAACAAACCCTTCTAACTTTTTGCACCTTTAACGGCTGAAGATCTATTAAAAGGACCAAGGAGAATATAACTTATTTATGACAAATATGCCCTTCTCTTGAAATATATTTACAAATTAATAATTATATTATACTAAAATCCAAAAAAAAACACCAAAGATTAGTAATATTAAGTTATTAACAGCTCGTATTTGAGATATATAAAAGATAAAAGGGAGTGACACGTAATAATTAATGTTTTAAATGATTGTACAATCTGTATATTGTACAACCCTCTATTACATAAATTATTGTGTACCGTAAAATTTGTTGTGTACCAATTAGTTTCTATATACAAAATGAGCAATATATGGTTTTAAAATGTTTGTTTTAACCATAAATATATAAAACAATTCATAAATAAAGTTTTAGTAGAAGTTTTGATATCACTTTCATTCCTTTAAGACATTATAATTTGTACTTTCCATGTTAGAATATTTATAATAAATATTTGACAAAATACATAAGAAGTTTCCATCATAAAAGTGTCATTTGAGATTTTATTTATTTTTGTTAAAATATCACAAAATATCATATGTTGGAGATGGGCAATAATAATAATAATAATAATAATAATAATAATAATAACAGGACAGTGGTAAGTAATTTTTAGGCATTACCAGGGGTACTTTGGGTAAATGACCCTAAACAATGAGAAATACGGGGGAGGTGGATTATTTCTGGTCCCACACCTTCATATATGTTGAGTCATGGTCTTGCAAATATTTTCTGATCCAACCACAGACCGCCGCGTGTTACAGAAGAATGTAAAAACTGCCCACGATTTTACCGCGTCATGCTGTTTTAACAAATTGGTCCCAAACCATAATATTTTAAATGCATATTTATATTATTAATTCTGATAGTTCAATACATATCGATTGAAGGCAAACGGGCAGCAAGCTGCGCCGCTAACCCTTTCTGGATGGCAAAACCAATTCTTTTGAAAACAACATTTGTGGATCTAGGAGATATGACATTAGAATGCATGACCCGTTGGACTCTATTAAGGAGCTCCACCGCCTCTGGAGCGAGAAAACCAAATGTATCGAATGCAAAAGGAACAAACACATGTTGATTTTCTATACATGCATTCTCGTGCTTTACCACTTTGCACGCAACGGCTTTCAAAGCGGCATGCCCAGCTGTGAAACCCCCGCTCCCCAAACCAACGAGAGGAGAGACCCCAGTAAGATACACGCACGCATGCTTCCTTCCTATCCATCCAAAGACCAAAATGTCAGCCGATCTAAGTGTGGACCTGCCATCCTGCGGGTCCGTCAAAAAGTTCACTGGTGCTTTTTTCTTCACAGAAATATCAGCACGCCGACAAGCATCAAAGAGAACATCCCGAACCACATCATGTCTATACTTGAAACCAGGGAGCTCTCTACAATGAACGGCGTGTTCCCCAAAGGTATCCAAACATGCCTTGCGACAAACTGGGCATATCTCGTCAATTGGAAATATGGGAATCATGAGGCGGTAACGAAGGATAGTTCGGTACTCAACAGGAGACATATGCTGGCCAAGACCATCAATAGGGATAGTTAGCAGAAAATCCTGAGCATGAGGCGCCCGCAGACACTCAAAGACTGCTTTCTGTCTGACAGTCATGTCGAAGTCGACTTCCATATCTTGGAATATTTTGCTAAAAAGGGCACACGCCAAAGCTTTTTGGGATTTAGGGGGGGAGGGGTGTCCTTATTAGTGAAACCGCTACAGTCAAATCCCGGAATCGTATCGCGAAGATTAGCATTTAATATAATAATATAATAATATATGAAAGTAATCTATTTTTGTAATTATATATTTACCAATTTCAATAAAAACCGGTTTATTTTTGTCTTTTCGGTTTAGAATATTTTTCTTTTTATTTTAAGACCATCTTCAATCTATTTTTTTCTTTTAAATATAAAATAAAAAATAAAATAAATAGCATTTCGTTTTCAATTATACTTCATTTTCTACCTTATTTTTTATCCCCAAATATATATTCTTAATATATTTCATTATTAATATTTACATAAATTTATCAAACACATCCCTTCTCTTAATTACCTTTTAACAAATATATAATCTATCTTTTTTGATTATAATAATATTATAAAATATGTTATAAAAAATTATAATAAAACAAATTGTTCGTATATAATGAATTTAAACTAATTACATATTTATTAATAAAAAATACTCCCTCCGTCCCAAAATTATTGTCCACGTTTGACTTTTTAAGTCTCTTTTGTTCAACTTTGACCTTAAATAATTTACTTTTTGTTGTATAATTTTTTATGCAAGATATATGAATAGATTGTTTTTTAAATGTATTTTCATTGTTATAAGTTTCATCAAAAATTATATAACACAAATAAAGTTATTTATGGTCAATGTTGACATGGAAAGACTTCAAAAGTCAAACGTGGACAATAATTTTGGGACGGAGGGAGTATTAAATAAAAAGTATTATATTTATAACACACTTTTAAATAAATATTATGCACGTATTTATAGAAATATTACATATACATATGAGAAAACCAAAACATATTTATACGTTGGAATAAATTTCCTATAAATGATTAATTAATATATGTCTTAGACTGAAGCGAGCTTCTTTATCTTTAATATGTTTATATCGAACAAGAAATTGTTTGGAATTGATTATATTCATCCATCGTCATTTCGACATCTATCGGTGACACTTCTTTTGCAACGTCAATTGGTGCATCAAATTTCAAATCACGCTCATCCTCCATTTTTATCAAAGTACTATATATATATATATATATATATATATATATATATATATATATATATATATATATATATATAGGTTAATTTCGTGTTTATTAGCATACATTATCATAATTGAAAGATATATTGTAATTATAAGATTATATAAAATGTTACTGTGTCTCAAACTTTTAATATGTATTTAAACTTTAATATGAATTCAATACATTAAAAAAAATAAGCTTTATATTTATGAAATATTACATTTAAATTATGTTTTGTAGATAAAAGTAAGGGAAATTGAGTAAACTAACCTTTATAAATGAGTTTGTTAATAAAAATAACCATTTTGTTTTAGAAATAACCACTTTCTCTAGCATAGCGTATTCCAGAGCATGTAAGAACATTCCATACTTGACTCGGTCAACCTATTCCGGAATACGATATTCCGGATGTAACATTCCAAAAACTATGATAACTTTTTTTTATTTTTATAAAATTATTCCACAAACCATAAGATAGTAATTCATTATTTCAACACAAAACCATAGAATCAAAGTATCAAAATCCCTCAAAACATAATCAATCAGGAGGATGTGTACGATTAGGCATTCGCCTTGCCCCGATCGTCCGATGAACCTGAAACAATGAAACCAACAACTGTAAGCCAAAGCTTAGTGAGTTTCCCCAATATATCCCACATAACACATATATAATACATGCATAGAAGGCCTACAACACAAGGTTGGACCGCCACCTGAGCCTTCAGCAATAAGCTGGACCGCTCCCGAGCCTACATCATAAGTCGGACGACTCCCTTGGGCCTACAATATCAACTGGATCGCCAGGGTATCTTGGCCTTCAACACAAAGCAGAAACCGCCTCAACCCCAACCACATAATGTAGAAATATGCAAACAATAATCAATAACCAGCAAGTACAGGTAATCATACAAATCTATCGATCTAACAGATCACTACAACATAGCAACATCCTATACATAATGATACATAACATAATCTAGTGGGCCGGTCTTGGTGCCTTCGACCCACGAGTACAGTGAGAAAACTCACCTCGAAGTCTAGAAGATAGCTAAACTGATCACAAATCCAAATGTCAGCTCTACAGGTCACGTATAAAAAAACAGGGGACCAAGTCTCAATCTACAGCTCAAAATGTTCCATTTTACCTAAAGTCAAACTTGGTCAAAGTCAACGGTTAACGGTCAAAAAGTCAAAAGTCAACTTCCAGCCAATCTACGCCCAGCGTAGAGCTTGGGGTGGTAAATACGAGGAAAATCAGGGCTACGCCCATCATAAAGGGATTTACACCCTGTGTAGACACCTGACGCCCTAACTTAATTATTAAGTCCTCAATTCAAACCATCAGCTCATCTAATCTTCAGATCTATACTATATGCATGTCTTAATAGATAAAGTCTCTGATTTATCCATTTGCGTGGCCACAAAGAGTACAAATCCAAAACCTAGGTCCTTAAAGTCATCTTTTACTCAAGAACACATGCATGGATGGATAAGAGCGACCAAACTCTCATTTTTATGACCTAACAACCCAAAGAACAACTAGAAATGACACACAAATGGTCTGGAGTAACTCATACTCATAAGAACCAAGGTTGTGGAGACAAAAACATGAAACTCTTAAACATTAACTAGATCTAACATAAACAACATCAAGGTGGAAACATCATACCTTCTGGGGGAGGATTATGAGATGCAAATTCCAGATCCACAAAGCTTGGAGCTCCCTAAGTACTTCCCAATGGAGTCTTCCTTCATAAATGCACACCAAACACTTAAAGGTCGCTAAAGCTCACACAAGAATATTAGGGTTTCAAGGTGGCTACTTAAAGGGGGTGGAGGCTGAGAATGGAAAGGCCTCAAGGGGTTAGAGCCTTTAAATAAGGCTAAAAACCCCAAGATTAGGGTTTTGGTCATGGGCAGCTACACCATGTGTAACTAAACCTACGCCCTGCATAGGTCACTTAAGCCTCGTGTCTAAGATTCCCTCCTGTGCGCTGCGTAGGAGACCATCATACGCCCCGCGTAGGATCAAGTTTATGAACACTTAAACTTTAAAATAAGGAAAATAAATATACCTACAAGGACTAGGCGTTACACTGGAGCATTTATTTCCATTTTGTAGTTATGGGTGGTTGGTTGGGTTTAGGTCCAGAATCTGACACCCCA